AATAATAATAATAATAATATCGACATTTCGTTGAAGTATTTTATAGATTCTCCTGATTTATTACTTTATTTTTACTGTGTAGCACTTTGAGATTGCTAAAATATAAAGTGCAATACAAATAAAATTTATTATTATTATTATTATGGTATTTCTCCCAATATTTGTGCCATTGCTGCAGTCAGTGAAGTACAGTGTTGCCGTTCCATTCTCAGAGGATCCAGCTTCTCCTCTATTCATTCCCTTGGCAGATGTAGAGATCTATGCTGTCTATGCTATCCGGGCCCTACTCAACTCTGGTTTCTGGTGAGGATGCCTATGGCATCCTACGGACTGGGAATTATATGGCTCAGAGGAACAGTCCTGGGTTCCAGCCTTGGACATTCTCGATCCCAAACTAATGGTGGACTTTCATCACACCCACCCTTCACGAACAGCTCCTTGTGCCCATGGCCATCCCTGGGGCTCTGGTCAGCCTCCAGGTGGCTGTTTGGGGAGGTGGGTTCTGTCAACATCCACCCATTTTTTTATAACCATTTGTCCTATTTTGGGTCACAGGGAATCCACAGCCTATGAAGGAAGCTACAGGTGCAATCTATACGAAGAAAAAACAAATGATTCATGTAAGGTTGTCAAGCATTTTCAATAATATATGATGGCTGATGTTTTTTATGTTCACTACAAGTGAGTGTTTTTCTTGTATGACTATGGCCACATTTATACCAAAAAACACACTTGGCATGTAAAGTCTGTAGGAAAGAAAAAACTTTTACATTAATTTTATATTTTACCATATGTGATAACATATGGTTTTAGTAGGAAATACATGTTTATTGCTTGTTGTTCCTTAAAGTGTTGTTTGTATATTATTCTTATGAAAGACATGTACAATCTCTCTACATTCAGTTGGTATAATTAGACATGTTAATTCATATTATGTTTTCAGAATTTAAAGTGAATACATCAAAAAAAGGATGTTTCTTTTTCAAAACACTCATTCTAATTATGTTGAACCACTGTCCATGGTTCAATTGAGTTCATTCAAAAAATTATGCATAAAAATGAATACTGACAAAACATTCATTTAATATGTATTCTACATGAATGTAGGACTTATATGTTTAACTGTACAATGCATTTCATATGTATGTTACTTCAATAAAGCACATGAATTGTATATTTATTTTGAGTATCATATAATGAGCTTATATGTTTGGGTAAAATGGGTAAGAGTCATATGTTATTTATAAAATATTTTTTCATGTGGGAAGGCAGGGAATAACCTAGTGTAAGTGTGCCAGCTCATCACAGGGCACATTCATAGCCCTGGGCCCCCTTAACTAGGTAGAGACCTCACCCTCCCTAATGTTCAACCCAAAGTTATGCCCTTTATTCATACACCATTCACTCACACACACACATGCACACCAATGAGCAATTTGGTAACTCCAATTCACCATGGCATATTTTGGACGGTGGGGGGAGGAAACTTGAAGGACACCCCACAACAACATGGGGAGAACATGAAAACTCTATACAAATGGAGCCATGGCAGAGACTTTTACCAAAAGTTATTTATTATGTGTTTGTCTTTTAACCACTATATTTCATTCATAATTTCATGCATCATGGTTCTATATTGCCCAGCATACTCGTTTTATATGATTTAATTTCATTGACTGCTTATTCAATCAGCAGCTTAGAAGTAATGTTTGGGTATTGGGCAAGGAGTATTAATGATTGAAAGTGTGATATGGATGTCTAGTCAATCTCCTATGAAGGTCAATAAGATAAGTGGCACTCCTACAATGTTTGCCACTGAACAATTCAAGCGAAGAGGGCGTATGTGTGATAGAAGGGAAAGTCCAAGACCTGGGGAGGGAATGTTTTTGAAGGTGGGCAAGTGTACATTGGACCAATCGGAGTTACATATACACTTGTAGGCATATTTATTTTGTATAACACAAAGAAACGTTGGATTATTTAAGCATGATGTGCTGGGAATTTCATTTCATTTGCCAATAGTCTCTTTAGGTGAGACATATTTAATCCAAGCCATTAATTATTAAAGGTGTAGTGCAGCTGTGATTTTATGTTTTATTTTTAAAATTAACTACTTTAATGAACCGATTTTAACTTCATATCTTCATACTTCATTTTTCACATTTTCTAATTTCAGACATGGTGGGACATTTTTTACTGTATTGTTTTATGCCCCTGCTTCTTTACGGTAAGTTGAAATAATATTTTGCATATTTACAACAAATAACATTAATGTACGACTAAAATATTTTCATGTCTTTTAATTATTTGTAAAATCTGTTTTCAGTAATACTTTTTATTGAAATATTCACCAGTGACATGCATGCTCCTCAAAAAAAAATATTTCTTATAGTAAATCTCTAAATTATATTTCCAAAATATTGTACAATCTCTGAATGGTTACTTAGGTATAAAACCTACTATTGTATCAATATTATATTGCATTGCATTGCATGTAAGATTGAATATTTCATAAGTCTTCAAAACCTCTTTCCTCGTGTTTTGTAAAGGCTAAAAGTGAAACAATCTTGTTTCAAAAGTTTCTTCAGACGTGCTTTTATTACTTACTCAATGATTACCACTAAATTTCAATTTGAATGAATATATTTATTAGGGCTGTCAAAATTAATGGGTTAACACGGATTAATCCATCATCATCATTAATCCGATAAAAAAATTTAACGCTAATAACCCATCTGCAGCGCAGAATGACTAAAAATCACTGAAATGTCTCTGTCAACCCATTTCGGGCAGTTTTGGTGCGTTCCATTTGCCCTCGGAACTCATATTCCGAGCCGGATTCTGAGTTTTGAAGATGGAAGTAACGACATGCGCGCTCCCGTTTCTCGGAGATCCAAGAAATATCTCAGGGCAGCACAGAGGATCCCAAGTTCAGAATCCAAGATGGCTGCGCCCTTTATCAATAGAAGGGAAAGTTGTAGTTTTATACTGTTTAAGCACTACTTCTCATTTGTGGCTCATTAAATCAATCGCACACACTATACTGTCCAACTTATCTGTGGACGTGTTGCTACGGAGTTTTATACATAAAGCACCGCGCGTAATGTGTTATCAACTGATATTGCTTGCAATGACAATTAACAGGGCTAGAATTGGATTTCATGATTAGTCGGATTATTTGTCAGATTTACGGTAGTTTGGGCTAACTGTATGTGAACGAAGATAAAGATCATATAAGGTACCTTAAATCCGACAAGTTGTCCGGCTAAGCAAAAAATCTTGCTTTTTGATATGGGTCCATGGTATTGCACTTCTGTGGCAGATGGAATGCATCCAACTCGTATTCAAGATGTTCAATAAACATGTTAAGTGCATATAAATGAATGATATTTAATCGTGATTAATTGAAATTAATCCACAGCAACCCTGTGATTAATCTGATTTAAAATTTTAATCGTTTGACAGCTGTAATATTTATTTAAAATGTGGGTGTTATTAACAACAGTGTATTTAGCATTAACTTTCAGGGTTTTGATAACATAATGCCAACAATCCTCAGTAAAAGGCTCACAAATTATGCAAAATCTTCATCTTGCAAAATTTTTTGGGGGGTTTGGTGGAGTGTGATTAACCCAGGGCTAGTCAATCCATTAGGCTACATATAGCCCTTTTCCATCAATGTAGTGCTGATGCCAAGCCTGTGCCTAATTTGTAACTTGTTCCGAGCGTTTCCACTGCTGATTACCTATGGCCTGTATTATGAACTGGGGTTACTGGCTTATCGGGGTAACTTGTTGGATTTAAGGTACCACAGTTTAAATTGACTTCATATTTGTTCACTTACATTTTGCCCAGACTACCTTAAATCCGACAAGTTACCCCCACTTAGTAGTACAGGCCACTGGTGTCATGTCCGAAAAAACTGACTCTGGCCCTGCACCACGGAATTGCTGGTCTAAAACTGCAAACACATGGTGTTGGCGTGTGGGTAGGGGCAACAATGCACTGTGAACTTCAACAGAGCGGCATTTGTTATTTCCAGTGTTTGGTGTTTTATTTGATTTTAGCGTTTGCAGATATGCAGACAAATGATTCTGATGAAAGAAATGTTTTGCATGAACTGCACTCGACTGAATCCAGGGACTTAGTGATCACTCAATTGCTTTTTGGTGTACAGTATATGCCCAAACAAGTGGTGACACCTGTCTTTTCTACAACTGCAAAATATAGACAGCAAAAATGCAGCAAATAATTAGTTATAAATAATAATTAGTAATCCTTTGTAATGTTTTGTGAAAAAGAATGTTTCGTCTCATGTTAACTTAATTACCTAATTACCAGTGGTCAAGTTAGCATAAGCATTCTCTGTCAAAAGACTTGGCACCAGCATGGCACTAGTACTTGCACCCTCTGCAATGCTGGTGCAGAAAAGCTATGTAGTGTACCAATAGATGTACTCCAGTGGTACCTACAAACAAATTTTTTTGGGAAGCAAACTCTAGACTTATCTGTAGAGTTGTTAAGCTCTTGCCACTTTCCCTTAGAACATACGAATTCCTCGTATACAAACCAACAAGGAATATTGGCTAAAAAGTTTATATATATGGTCAGATGATTGAACTGACATAATGAATGGTTAAATTTGTGTCAGTTATCTATGTGTCTAAAACACACAAGTCATAGGTAAAGCATACTTCACTATGTGGGTTTAAAATACGCCATATTCCGCAACTATGCAATCAACTACTAAATAGAAGGTGTTGAGAAATACATTGAAGTCTTTGGGCTTAGTGGTCGCACTTTTCGGGTTTTACATTGCAGTGATCATTATAATTATTCATGGTTGTTAAAATGATATTGGGGAGGCACAGTGGTTAATACTGTTGCCACACACTACTGAGAGCAGGGTGTGAACCTCTGTGATGGTTTTGTGTGTGGAGTTTGCATGTTCTCCCTGTGTCATTGTGGGGTTTTCTCTGGGTACTCTGTTTTCTGCCCACAGTCCAAAGACACACTGAGTTTAACTGGAATTATCAAATAGCCTGCAGGTGTGTGACTGAATGGTGTGTGAGTGTGCCATGCTATGGGTTGGTGCCCTATTCTGGGTTCCTCCCTGCCTTGTGGGAGGAACCCTCTGGGATAGGCTCCAAACTCCCCCTTGACCATAAATAAGACAAGCAGCTTCAGAAAATGGATAGATATAATTATATTTTTGCGACATGAAAGTTTTCTTTTTTTGGCTAAGCTCTGTGTCAACTGTTGTCTTAAAGAAACTGTTGTATTTAAAGTATAAACTAAGGAGGAAAAGGGCTTTGTTCCAGAAATGGAAAATAACTGAGGATGACAGAATAAAGCAAGAGTATCTAAATCTACAGGC